ACACTCTTTGTTCCTTCTGGTCGGCCATCTCACTAATCGCCAAAGGGTTGAAACAGGAACGCACACAACAGAGCACCACAGACAAACCACTTAACTCAGACTGACGCCAGCTCGCTAACAGTCGCGGGAGACCCCCAGCTAACACCACCTAGCAGCACAACTCGTAAGTACAAAGCATGCACGCGCAACAGGTCGGTTCCGGTTATTTTTGGGTCCCCCTTCATATAGCAAAAAGATGATGCATTGACTCTTCCCACAAAAATCTCCCTTTATAAATTTTAAGTTTTCATGACCGACAATTAATGTGTGGTATTCTAGGTTATTGCACCATGTAGTCTGAGTGGTTGGTTGGGAGGTAGGTAGGTAGGTAGGTAGGTAGGTAGGTAGGTATGTAGGTACCAGATGGAAGTTGTATGTTCTCCTGAAAGGTCCATACTCACTTTCCAGATTACCTGTTGATATAACCCAGAAAACCACGTGAACCTCTGCGTAATGTTTCCGTATGATGATGTTGTGATTCTGTTACAGGGTTTGTAGGCACCTTGCCAGCAGAGAGTGATGCAGCAATAGCTCAGCTGTTGTTGCATGTTCCACTCCTGCGCCCAGGAAACAATGAAACCAAATCTCGTTACGTAACTGTAATACATAAAGTCCTCAGCCACACTGTGGAGACAGGTGCTCACATTGATAAGGCTCGACAGCTGCTCTCCTACAGCCTCATCCATCCTGCCTTCAGTGGAGAAGACAGGAGGTAGGGTGACAGAAATCTGTGTTGCGAAGTTTCTAGTTATGATGGAAACCAGTTCCAGCTGTATTCATAGTTGCTAAACAGCCATGCTGATGAACCTTTTAATTTTCCTTGACTTCTTACATACATAGCCTTGAATCCCTTCTATTTATTTCAGATGTGCTAATTTTGTGTATTAACCATTCAGAGATGCTATGTTAGGTGGGTCCCTTGTCACCACAGCATGACATGTCCTCAGGTTGCAGATGGAGGAGATGGCCTCCAGATACAGAGGATAGTTGTGAATATGTTGAATAAGTAGTCATGGAAAACCAACAAGGGGTGGTCCTCCAGCTTAGGGGGTTGGGTGTGGGGCTAACCACTTCTCACCATAAAAAAAAAATAGCTTGTTAATGAAAGATCACAAGAAGCCTCAGACCTGGACAGATTCTTTGGATAAATGACCTAAGCAAAAGAAAATGGATATGAGATATGGTACATGGAATGTTAGAAGTTTGTATAGGGCAGCCTCACTCAGGGCAGTGGCAGAAGAAATCTTAAAATGCAAGTTAGATTTAGCGGGAGTAGGTTTGGAGGTGGCACCGCACCAGCAGGCAAATATATATTTTTCTCTGGAAAGGGGAATGACGATCATGAATTAGGTACAGATTTTTCATACATAAGAGAATCGTATCAGTAATTAAGAGGGTAGAGTTTGTTAGTGATAGGATGTCATACACAATACTAAGAGGTTGCTGGTGCGATATCATTGTTCTGAATGTTCATGCCTCAATGGAAGATAAAATTTGATGATACAAAGAACAGGTTCTGTGAAGAACCAGAATTTGTATTTGAAAAATTCCCAATGTACCATATGAAAATTTCGTTAGGAGATTTAAATGCCAAAGTAGGCAGGGAAGACATTTTCAAACAATGATTGGGAATGAGAGTTTACATTAAATTAGTAATGACTCTCCTGGAATTGCTGTATTCATCTGTTGGCTTCTTCAGAATTTTACATTACGAACTTCCATGATACTTATGTGGACAGATTAAAAACCTGTGTTTCTTCATCATCATTGATTTTTGATTGTGTGGGGATTTTTGTGAAATTTATTTTGATCTACTTGAGAAGAAAGGGAGAACCCCCTCCCTTCAGCAGTAACAATATGGCAATTGTAAAAGTTGTAAGGTAGTTTTTTAAGTTTTCTTTTGGTGACAGATCAGTGTACTGTAGCATGTTAGAGGTAGCAACATAGCAGCTCATCTTTAATTGATTATCAGTACTGTCAGTGACTTTCATCCTTATGAATTTGTGTAAGTGCAGGCTTTCTCAGGTAATCTAGAGAAGTTATGATTCCAGGTCTCTTACATACTGGCTGAGACTTCTAGAGGCCCGAATCACAAATGGAACAACTCGAGTGATGCCACCCACAGTGTGTGACTCCCCTCAGCACCAACAAACTGCAATAATCTGTGGACAGCAGCAGCTGCAGAACAGAGTGAATGGTGGCCATGATGTGACTCTCATCAATGGGCACTACATTGTGCACAGCTGTAACTCAGCACCGTCCACTACATCTCACAGTAAGACAGGTTTCACAGGTAGGATAAATTCATCATTATCATGAGTTGAGGTGGTACCCTGTTCTGGATACAATTAGAATCATTGTGATATAGGCCATAGCTCAAGCGGTTAGTCACTGGCTTTCCACCGCGGTGGTCTTGATTCGATCCCGGGTCTGGTCAAGTGGGATTTGTGGTGGGCAAAGTGGCACTGGGGCGTGTTTTCTCCGAGTACTTTAGTTTCCCTTGCCAATCTTCATTCCACCAAATTCTCCATCATAATCGCCCAGGGCAGGTACAGTAGGCCAATCAGTGGCCGCTGTGCCGAGTGGATGCAGCTGGACTCCCCCCCACACTAAGAAAATTAAACAGAAAATCATTGTGATGGGGAATCATCTTGAAGCCCAAAGTAGGTGAAAGACTAACATTGGCATGGATTGTAGGAAGAGAGATTTTGAATTTATATAGGAACATGTTATGGCTTTGGTGCTAAGAGAGTTAGTCATTTGGATTCTGCTACCACAGGGTAGCCAGCATATAGGATTGTTGCTGCCCATGCTGAGAAATGATCTACTAGCTTGTGGAATTGCATCAAATTTTGTATTAAGGTTTGCAGACATAATTTGTTACTATACATTTGATCATGGGATCATGATCATTCATATCATGTAATTGACATTGATTATATTGTATTTAATATGGATCATTGCCAGAATGTGAACCATCTGAGTCTGATTTCCATCAGGTTGACAATGGTGAGCTCTATGACATCTTATTTCCCCTCCCCTTTGTGTGTGCAGAGTTCTCCTCTAAAGATTCTGTACATGTTAGACTTGGTGAACAATTGCAGGAGGAGGACTTATGCAAGGGAATAGGCCAGAACCAAATTATGGAGTGTGTTGCCTTAAATTTGAGATGGAGGAGATCATCAAGTTAAATGACGTGGATGATGAAGAGGATGGTAACAGTTACAAGACATGGGCGTGTACAATGTTATAGTTGTGTGCTTTCTTGCGTATTTCTCAAGATATTCTGCCAGTAATGTCACAGTTTTCAGAATAATAGAAAAGATTTTTATATTTTTTCATTAAATTGTTTATGTTCTCAATATCAGAACTTCATAATTGCATATGTGAACACAAATTACTGTTTGTCCACCCGTCTTTGCCAACCAGTAAGTGTCTCACAGCACTTGTGTTTATAGCTCTGGTACTTAGAGGTGACAGTCCAGGAAAAGCTGCGCAGTGGATGGGCAGGTCCATTCGTGAAAGTTGAGAGGTGTTGTGATTAGTCATTCGTCTGCATTCAGTGCGAGTAGACGTCTCAAGAGCATTCTACCTTGTACAGTCAAGTTAAAAAGTTTTGACTCTTGGAGTCGTATTTGTGTGTATTATTCTCTAATTACTGTATTAATACTGTAACGTGTTGTCTTGCGTCCATCGCCGCTCAACGGCTACAATACTCAAATACGACTCCAAGAGTCAAAACTTTTTAACTTGACTGTACAAGGAAGAATGCTCTTGAGACGTCTACTCGCACTGAATGCAGACGAATGACTAATCACAACACCTCTCAACTTTCACGAATGGACCTGCCCATCCACTGCGCAGCTTTTCCTGGACTGTCACCTCTAAGTACCAGAGCTATAAACACAAGTGCTGTGAGACACTTACTGGTTGGCAAAGACGGGTGGACAAACAGTAATTTGTGTTNTTGTCGGCTCTAAGTACCAACAGCGACAGTCGAATGCAAACAGACCGTTGCGAAGGAGCATTCCCGAGGCAACGGATTGCTGAACATGTGAGTTTGGAATAGGCACTTCCATGGTAATGCAAAGAACAGGGAGCCGTTGCATAGACAATGCAGAAGCAACAAACGCGTCTCCCCAGAAATGAACTACAGAGAGTTCGTTGCGCCCATTATGTAACAGTGGACAGTAGAAACGAAAGAGTGAGGAATGATGTCTGGTATCCAGTCCGCAGAACACCTACATAAGCCGAGAGCTACAGAGACAGAAGACAGCAACAAGACAGCAAAAGGTCAGTATTGGTATAGCCGTCGCCGAAGACAGTTCAGATCCAACCACAGCCAAAGATAGTTGAGATGTCGCATTGAAGTATTGGGCCAGAAGTCAAGTGGTGACACGTGACAGTATTTTATTTTATTGTTTATTTTTATTTGTTGATTTCCTTTTTTGTTTATTTATATTTGTACATTTTTTTCTATCTCCTTTAACATGCCACATACACGAAGTAAATTGAGTGGAAAAGTGTTACATTCACAATCAAGAGAAATTGTTAGTAATGTATATAAGTATATGAAAGAGGCTGGGCCAACAATTACAGTGAAGAACATAAGAGTGGAAGTAGCAAAGGCAACAGGTGTATCGGAAAGTAGTGTCAGAAGACTAATAAGAGAAACAAAAAATATCGAATCTGGGGCTTCCACTTCCTTTTCGACACCCCATAAAGAAAGACCTGGGAAATCTCCACTAGCCACTTTGGACAACTTTAAGAAGTCTATGGTGTGAAGAACAATGACTTCTACATAGTCGAAAAACGTAGACCTACCCTGAAAAAAGTTCACGAAAAGTTGAAGAAAACGTTAGATTTTCAGGGATGGATCTTCACATTAAAGAAAATTATTTTGAAACTGGGGTTCTGCTGGAAGAAAACAAAAAATAATCGGACATTGCCGGTGTTGCCCCTTTAGAATAGACCCATGTAACATGTAAATAAACTCTTCATGTATATAACAGTGAAAAGTGTATAATAGTGTATAGTGCATAATAGTCTGCCATTCGGCACTTAAAACTTAACATCGGATGTGTGAACATCAACGAGAATAAACCACCACCACTATGCAACACAGTGAGGTAAGAAGTTACTTCCTTTTGAGAATGCCTGTACTGCATTCCCCGCCACACTTGTAGGCATGCTGGAGCTCTCCGCCACTACCAATACTTCTCCTACTCTGCATTGGAGGACTGTCACCTCTAAGTACTAGAGCTGTACTTTGATTGCCTTTAAATTGTACATCTAATGTCATAATAATGATAGTAATATAGACTATGTTGGGCCTGTTGTGCTTTCTTTCAGATGCCACTAATTACTCAAGCAGTACTCATCCTCGTGTGCGGAGGAGCAATAGTCTCACACCTCCAGTCAGTATTACACAAACTTCAGACTTTTGGAGTTCTCAGGTTTGTTGCAGTTCCCTTTGCCAGTCTGCTATGAAATATACCTTCATCTTCCTGTTGGTCTGAATTGTCATTTGTTATATTTAGTGCAACCTTAGTTTTATGAGAGTTTATAAAATTAGAGATAACAGACTTCTACACAAGAGACCCTCTTTATGACTCCTTTAATAAGTGTTAAACTTCTTTTCGGTTTTTTAATACTGTCATTCACTCCCCCCCTCCATTTCCCCAATAATACCATATTTTAGTATATATTAAATTTTTGTAAAATAAACATTTCTTAATACAGGTATACTTACTGAGTATTGTAAGGATTTAATCAAATAAAGAGCTTTGTTAAATTGTTGACAAAGATACAGTATATGAATGGCCAAGCTTAAGTTTTCTGTGATATAAATACCTAGATATTTTAAATTTGATGAATAAGTTATTTCTTTGTTATTTAAATACAGAACTGGATCCTCTTCCCTCAAATAGTATTGCTTCGGTCTTTTTCATATTTGTTATAAGATCATTTGTTAAGAACCAGTTTCCTAATTGTTTCATAACTTGTGTAATTTTCCCTTTTAACAATGTGAGATCTTTCTCGGCGAGTAATATATTTGTGTCATCCGTGAACACCACCACCTTAGCTTCTTGAACACCTTGAAGCAATTCATTTATAAACAACAAAAGTGGTCCCAAAACAGAACCCTGAGGTACACCGTATTTTATTTCTTTACATCACAAAGTATGTGTCTTTATATATGAGGTGTTTTAATCTAATTGTTGTATTTCCACAAATTTAATTCTACCAGTAAAATATGAACACATCCATGGATGTATTTTCCTTTTAAGTCTATACAGCTCCAATTTATGAATTATTGCATCAAAAGCCTTAGTTAAATCTATAAATATGCCCATAACTAATAGTTTGTTATCTAATGCTTTCTGGTTATCTTCTGTAAAGGTTTATGTTTCTTAATTAGTAGATTTATTCTCTCCGAAGCCATTTGGAGCCTCAGAGATAATGTGCTTGTTTAGGAAGATCACTACTCTTTTATGTATTAATGTTTCAAGAATTTTTGAAAAACTGGCAAAGTTGAAATTGGTCTATAATTGGAAATTTCTTGTTTCCCTCCTTTTTTGTAAATAGCCCAAACTTAGCAATCATCAAATCAATTTGGGAAGGTTCCAGAACATGATGAAATGTTAAATATAAAGGTTAGTGGTTTTTTAATAAACTGAATACTATCTTTTCCAGTATTTCATCATAGCCTACTGAAAATTTACCTTTTAATTTGCTGGTTACATTTAATACCTCATCTTCAGTAATTGGGGTGAGACACATGGAACTGGATTTGTAACTATTGTCATTTTCTACTAGGGAGCTCTTACTGATCAGAGAAGTTAAACCGTGTAAAAGTTAAAAGTAAGAGGATATTAAATACATATTAGCAACAAAATAACATTTTTAACAAAAAAGAATATTGTTGGATGTTGAAGACTGATGATGTTTCGGTATACACATAACTGATTACAGTTTTGCATTCCATTATAATTTTGTCACGTAAAGTAATTAAATTGGTGTGTGCAGGAAACTTGGAATGGTTAGTTTGACACAAAATGTGGAATCACAACACTGCAAAAATTAGCTGATAGTTGTCCCATCTTTTCCAGGATGATCTATCTGGGAGACAGAAGCCGCGAAGTTTCTCACTGTCTTCAGAACATGCCCCCCCTCTCTCTCCCCAGAGTTCACTAGCCTCCTCAGGAAGTGGTTCTCTTGATGAACTACGAACAGGATTCAGTTCAGATGCTTGTGGGATGCGTGGTGAGTTGGTAATGATTACGAGGAGACCGGTGAGAAGTAACATAATCAGTGCACATAGCTCAAAAATTTGTATTTGATATGGAGTTTTTCCCAAATCTCATTTTATTTTGTTATGTATTTTAATATTTGTTGATCGTATATTTAATCTCCCATTCTTTTAAGTGGTTGCTTCATTTATGCAGTAGTGATCAGAAGTCGTTATCTATTTGATTCCTCAACCATAACTGTAGTTAGAAATATACATTTAGTGCCAGGTATGGTCCAAGCACACAAGGTAGTATGCTGAGTTTTTAAAAATATTCTAACTGCTCAAACATGACCTCGTAGAGAAACAAAAATATAGAAATGAACCTGTTAAAAGTCTTGGTCCAGTTTATTTTTTGGTTATAAAAAATGTTTATTTCCATCAACTTGTAAAAACTAACAAACAGTTCTAGCACTTGGTCATAAAGCCCTTAACTGCTAATGACTGCTTGACATCAGCAGGCACCATCAGCCAGACTCATGAGACTGACTGCTTAGTGGAATTTTCTGTCATTTGTCCCACAAGACACTGAAAAGTTGTTGATTGTTGGTTGGGTCGCAACATTTCCCAAGTTCTTCCCAGTGGTGTTCGATGAGGTTGAAGTCAGGGGATTGTGTCTTCAAAATGTATACAGTGAAACCTTGATTTTACACTTTTCAAGGGATTTCCTAAAATAAGTGTAAAGTCAAGGAACGTGAAGTAAAAGCAAGGAAGTAATAATGTAATGTAAAGATAATTTGGTTTTCTTTATACCAAAATTCTGAGATAGTTTAAAAAAATACACGTTTAAACATTTAACTGTGTACAGGGTTACTATGAAAGAAATACTCTTTCGGAGTTTTATAGATATCAAAGTAATATTGTTATAGCCAATATAGTACTTGCATGGTTTTTTAGTATATGTCTTTTAAGTTTGTATGACTAAGTTACAAATGTTCTATGTACGAGCATTTCGTCACATGACAGATGTCAATATGATAATCCAGTTAATTCGAATACCACTCAACAGACCAGAATGTGGCACTGACACATTGGCCACCAAGGAGTCTGGATCTAATGACTTGTGATTTTTTCTTGTGGGGATATATCAGAGACATAGTTTTTGTTCCTCCACTTCCTTAAGTGTACAACGATCTAAAACACCGCATCACAACAACTGTTGCATGTGTTGGCAGAGACATTCTCCAGTGTATATTCTAAAGGGTTCTGATGATGGTGTATGACTGGGGTTTTGGACTTTTTCCATCATCCAGAATTTTAGGTAATAGAGGACAGAACCCTGTGTATGTAGATGCATATATGGTGCGTTGTCAACTGCTATTTTCTATGTGGCATTGGTAAGATGAGATGGTGAGCAGGTTCCTCACTCGCAGATTTTTCTACCCTGATGATGGAGGCGATCGTTCCTCTGAAATGTCGGTTCACACAAGATCTACACAGCGCCACATCCCAGAAGACAGCGTTCTTCACTATGAATTCCGCTTGCAGTTTCTTGTTCAGTCACTCTGGAACTCAACTGCATTCTGCTGAACTCAAAACTGAACTTCCCGTGCCTGTCTCCTACCGATAACTCACTTGAATGGAACTGCAGTTAAAACTAAAAACTGTTAAATCTGTAGCTATGGTTATATAGCCTCTGCACCAACCACGCTCAGAAAACATGGTCCTGTTGTTGCATAAAGAAGACCACAGAGAAAGTGGGTCATGTAATTCCCAGTCACCATCTTCATTGGTGCGCTGTTGCCTAGCGGTGCACAATAACCTTCCTCCCTGAGACACATCTTCTGTTGTTCTCTCATGTCACGGGGTATTCATGGGTCCGTTACCTAGCAACAATCTGGCCATCCACATTACAGTATTGAATTTTGACTCATCAGTTCACAGCACTTAGACACACTTAACTGGTCCAGTGCTTGTGCCCAAGGCAGACTGAAGTAGCGCCTTCCCATTTCTTGTAAAAATTAATGGCTTCTTTGCAGTACATCTTCCATGCAATCCAGTATCCAAGAGATTGTTTGGTTGTGAAAATGATCGGATGGATGCCATAGTCTTTCTTCATTCTAGAATTTCAGTGGCTGTCTCCATGGGGTCTTTCTGAGACAAGCATTTGATAATTTTTGTCGTTTGTAGTTGTTGTTTTCATTCTCCACAATTTCAGACAGCAATTTACAGTGTAATGGGCACATTTATGAGTACAGTTGCTGGTTACTATAGTTCAAGGAATGTGGAATGTCTTCAAGATGGCACCATTTGTTTGTCCTTTGGAAATCGAATCCGTGAAACCCTGCTTGATGAAGGAGAGAAGGTACTTGTGAGGAGGCATCCAGCAGTATTACAAGAGCCACATTAATGTAACAGCTTTGGTCAATGCATTGCCAGGCAACAGCTCTTTAAACACAATTTGTTGCTAGATTAACACAATAATGGACGAGGCTGTGTTTTCCATGCCCGCGGTAACCTCACAACGGGAGATAGTGATCACATGACATGTGTTTACTGTTGGTCGATGTCTGTCCCTCACCTACATAAGTGGCAGAATTCCTAAGCTGAGATAGATAGTAGTGGCGGAAGCATGCAAACAGAGCAAGTTGGAACCAGGACTGCAGAAGGGTACGCGAGGTCGGCCTGTGAGGATTTAAGGTGTGATATGAAAGTTTTATGTATGTGTAATATTTGGAGTGTGATTCAGTGAGACTGTTATCGTTATTGTGTTACAAACCCATGAAGGCTAGCGCAGAAAGACTGGGAGAATAGTGCAGAGTGCATATAAGAGACGTGAATAGAAGACCTGTCAATGTGTGCGCTATAATTATGGTAATCTTGAAAGTGTTACAACTAGCGTGTTATTGTGTTACACTCCCATGAAGGCTAGCGCAGAAAGACTGGGAGAATAGTGCAGAGTGCATATAAGAGACGTGAATAGAAGACCTGTCAATGTGTGCGCTATAATTATGGTAATCTTGAAAGTGTTACAACTAGCGAAGACCCAATAAACCAATTCACCAATCCAAACCCACGTCTTAGTCACTGTGACACATAACATTATAATGCAGTAATGATGGAAAAATGTATAACACTTAAAAAACAAAGGATGACTTTTGAGCATGTTTTTCTGATTGTTTCTCCATAAGTTCATGTTTGAGCAACAAAAGTAGCGTGATGAACTTGGCACATTACCTTATATGCTTGGTCTGTACTAGGTACCAAATGGGAGTTTCTAACAAAAGTTGTTGGCAACAAATCTTCAAATCACTATAGTATAGTCTCTCATGTCTTCATTTTGTTGTAAGTTTATTAAGTTTCCCCCATTAACATATTTTGAAATCTTGATTTAATTATATGTAAATTTCCCCTTAGCATAATCCCAGTAGGGTGAATAGTTTTTAAAGAGGCTGGTACTTTTAGTTCCAAGACTTCATACAAATAAACCAATAAGAAGTGTTAATCATTCACATTAAGAATTATTTTTGACAGTTCCATAAACTGTGGTCTCATCCATGTCTGAAATGGATTGTAGCTTTAGGAGAGATAACTTTATCTTCCTTATGTATTAATGTAATACGATTACACTTTTAGTAGATATATTTTGGATTACTAAAATTTCTCTTTTTGAAAGTACTGGTTGATTTTGAGCTGTGCACTGGCTATGAATTCATATTTTCGTAGGGTTTTTCCATATGCCCTGTTCCTTTCTCCTACCTCTGCAACCTCAAAATCCCTGCCCCCCCTTGCTTCTGGCTTTAAACTGTGCACCTCCAGTTAGTAGGTTGATCATTTATATTGTAGACTTAAGTAGAGCAACGTTTTGTCAACTGGGCTAGCTGGTGGAGATGTATCAGTTTGGAGCACAGAATCTGGGTTGTTTTTTCTTAATCATTTTTGGCTGATGGATTCTGAATTTGGTTTTGAATTTATCATTGCACTGATCTTGTGGGTAGTCATTCAATTATCTGTATCTGTATATGTATTTGTTTCCCCCCCCCCCACATGACAAATGTGACTGTAGCTGGAGTTTGGTTTGGTAATCGGATTTATTGATCTCGTGCCTATACTTTACAAATCTGCCGCACACAGACTGGTGTTCTTCATCATGGTCTTCACTGTGCTGCTTGGTAATGGGTTTCAATTGTGTAGCATCCTTGGCTTCTGCGTCCTATAGCTCCTTTCCTTGCTTGCTGGCAGCATTCATCTGCAGCACCCGTGCTGTACTAACTGGCTTCCAGCTGCCAAATCAACAGCACACAATTGACTCCTCATGTAGCCTTAGCACAAACTGCATAGGAAACAGTTCTTCTATTATTGCAGCACATAGCTATCCCACAGATTGCATAGAAAACACAACTGCCCAATTACTCCGTTGTTGCATGTTACAAATCTGTTGTATGGTGATGGGGGTGTTCGTTTAGCTGTTTCCTAACACATATTCACAGTTTTTGCATTGAGTCATTACTAAGCAACAATTGCAAAACAAACAGTGAGACAGCGGCTGTTACTAGGCAACAGCTTTGTAAATATGTAACACTATTGGAGCCGTTGGTAGGCAGTGGCCCATGTGCAACAGTGGAAGTACTCTTGGAAGCTGTGTTTTCTATGGGCCCACTCTGGGGCTATGTCGCTCAACTGACCAAGTTGAGTTAGTAGTGCAGTGGAGTGAAGTGAGTTAGTTGGTAAGTGAGTGAGTTAGAAGACTGCTGGTTCAATCTCTGTGAGCCGTTGCTGCTAGAAGCTGGTAGCTGAGGCATGGGGATAATTTGGGAACCTGGAATAAGTGGAACATCTGCCACTGGAAGCTGCTACCAGGCAACTGGTGACACAGGAGACTGAGAAGCTTAGTACAGGGTCCGGCAGGGAGGTGTGACATATTTGTGATGGGTATAAAAGTGGAGGTAGGGGGACTAGCATATGCGCAGTGGTTGGCAGTTACTCACTGTTAAATGCCATTTCAGTAGCCATGGAACCACGGATGATTGAATGTCGTGCCTTTGTTTTTGAGACATTTATTCAAACGGGTAGTTCAGTGGTGCTTACGCAGCGCAGATTTTGTACTCACTTCAGTGTTGGTCAACATGGCACCGTTCCTTCTCGAAACACAATATTTAAGTGGGTGAAGAACTTCAGGACAACTAGATCTGTGAGACCGGGTACAGCTCGGGGAGGCGATCGAACCATCAGGACTCCAGAAAACATTGAAAGAGTTCAACAAGCTGTAGAGACCAGCCCATGTCAGTCAGTGGTATGGCACGCCCACATTCTACGGATGTCAGAGAGGTCACTTCACCGAATTTTACACTTTGACCTTCACTATCACCCATACAAAATTATGGTGGTTCAAGAACTGCAGCAGAATCATTTCGTATGGAGGTTTATGTTTACTGAAAGAATGCTGGAAGTGCTGAGGGATGACACTGTTTTCATCATGAGTGATGAGGCGCATTTTCACTTGACAGGAAGTGTCAATAAACAAAATTTCCTGTATTGGTCAGCAAACAATCCCCAAGAACTCCATCAAAGACCCCTACATTGCGAGCGAAACACTGTGTGGTGCAGAATGGCCCGATTTGGCGTAATTGGGCCTTTTTCATGGAAGGTGGACGCACTGTAACAGTAAACTTGCAACGTTACGTGACAATCTTGCACGAGTTCTTACTGCCTGAATTGCGAAGACGTTGCATCAGCCTCACTACAATTTGGTTTCAACAAGATGGGGCTACTTGCCATACCTCAAGAGAATCAGTGGCCTTATTGAGAGAACATTTTCCTGGGCACCTCATTTCAAAGCATGGGGATGTGGAGTGGCCCCCTTGATCCCCGGATCTTTTGTCGTGTGATTACTTTGTATGAGGCTACCTGAAAGCTAATGTTTACATCAACAAATCACGCACTCTTGAGGCCCTTTCAGATGCCATAACCCGAGAAATTTGAGCAATTCCACTTGCTGTGCTTCAAAGAACTATGGACAGCTTTTCCGCTTGCAACAATGCTTGGACAATAACGGCCGCCATTTGCGTTATGTTATCTTCTGAAAATGAATTTAAATTTTCTTATTTTTTGTTACAGCATCTTAAATGGCATTATACATGTACTCTTTAAAAACGTTAAAATTTGCTATTCGTCAAAAAATAACTGTACTAGTTTTCTGAAAACCATCACGCCTCCCTGCCACACCCTGTATGTGCTGTAGTAAACTGCAGAGAGTGTGAACTAGCAGTTGTGCTATAGATACTTGAGTTACGTCACCAAGCACAATAGATCACTGTAGGTCGTGGTGCAAGGGCTGAGAAGGCCCACCCATTATACATTATAGAGTTTGTAAGTGTCCAGTAAATTCTTTCACAAATCCAAACCCTCTCTATAGTCACTCATACATGTGACAGAATATACCAGTTATACCTTCTTACAATTGAGTTATTGTTTTCATTTTCAGTATTTTCCTTAATTGGTATGATATTAAGTATGAATCAGAGATGGGTGGACAAGGATAAGAATAGATAATGGTATCCAGAAAGCATAACTGACTTACAAGAAGTACTATATCTTGGTATCCTCAGAGTTTGGGTACGAAATAAGCAATTTTTCCCCAGACATTTTCTGCAGAGTTAGAAATTGACTTAGAAACACATCAAGATTTGAATTTGACTGGCTCCCAAGTTGCTGCAGGCTATCGCCAGCACAGTGATTTTTTGTTTTGAGTCCCACAGGACTTAACGACCATATTTTACCATCTGACTGCTCTAGGAGCCTTCAGACCAATCATTCTGAATTTTTATGCATACATGAACTGTATGAGGAGTGTCCAGTGTCATTGGGAATGTCACAGAACCTGAAAATTCAACAGCTACTTTCAAAACTTGCTGTTTATTTGACATAATTCTCAGCCAGTCATTCTACTTAACATCCACACAACCCATTATCACCTAGCCAAGTTTAATGTTGTTGTCCACTCTTCTGTTTTTTTGATGAGGGGATGTCAGCTCCATTCTTATTATACCTTGTTAGTTTCCAGATGTGTTGATTTATAAATTGCATTAGGTCAGATGTAAAAAGAAAATCTGTATCATCTTGCAGATGTTCCATCATGGCTAAAGTCATTACGACTTCACAAGTATGCACAATTATTTGCACAGCTGAGTTATGAGGAGATGCTTGCGCTCACGGAGGAACAACTTGCTGCTCAGGGTGTCACTAAAGGTGCTCGACATAAAATTATCATCAGCATTCGTAAACTGAGAGAGCGCTTCAACACACTTTGTCAATTGGAAAAAGTGAGAAAAGATTTTATTTATATCTAGCTGAATTTAGAAAGTTAGTATAAAGGTGGACATTTGCTGCCTAGTTGTTAGAATTGTAACCCTTAAGGTAGCATGAATTACATTTACGTGTGAATGAAGAAAGTATACATATACAGTGGATGTCTTTTTTATATGTTTTGAAGGGACAAAGAACGTGGGAAATGCCTTGAAAGGGAAGGCTTCAAAATGCTTAGACTTGATTACGTGTATCCCTCACAGAAAACAAATAGTATAAAGATTATATTTTTACACTGAACAAACTGCCAAAAGCATGCTAACTACCCAGGCTTTCAAATATATGCAGTATGTTCCTGCTGTCATGGTTAATGTTAAATAGTCTTCTGAAATGTTATTCTTTCTTGAAGAACACTTGTTTTACTTGTCTTTCAAATAAATCTGAAAGTAAAATTTTTCAATTCTGGTAGGTTTCTGATGATGGAGTCTGACATATCGGTAATGCCACTGAGGAAGTGGTGGTATGTACCCAAACATTGCTTATTTAAATGTAGGAATTGGTTTACACACCGCTGCCTCCTCTTCCTCATTCCAGTTTCTGCATTTTTGTATTCAGTACAGAGGGTGTCAATTTCTGGAACTGCAGAAGGAAGAAAATTATATTCATCCTCTACATAATCTTCGGTTGTGAATGTTACATGAATTTCCTCCTGAATATCAACCCAGGTGGGTGGAATTCCTGCTAAATTATCACTTTATCAATTGTAAATTTCTGATGTTTCACAGAATACAGGCTTTCTGATGACACTTTGCAATCATTTTGTGATTGGCAGCATTCCATGATGTTGCACTCATGGATAGGCATTTTGTAAGATTCTCTGGCGAATGCAGTTCTCTGCAGGAAATGCACCTACAATATTTAAATTTTGAAAACCTGATTATTTCTTGGTCAATTGTTTGTAAGACCTGTATGTTGGCTGGCAGAAATTCCACTATCACATTTCTTACTTGCATCTTTGGCATATGATGCAGTGATCTAAAAATGGCAGTATTTTCCACTTTTTCACTGCAGTTCTCCTTTCCAAACATGTTAGGAACTCCACGAACAGTTCACAAGTTACCCATGCACTGTTATGTTTCCGAGTATATGGCAAAGACTTAACATGATTGAAGCAACTTGGCTTCTCTGAATTTTCAGTCAGCAGCAATGGTATCTTTTTAGATCCAGCCATATTTGCATGTACAAGCACAGCAATTCAGTGTTTACTCTTTTTGACCCCATGATGGCTTTCATCTTTGAAAGCATGTTTCATCAAGAAGTAGGTTGAAGATGTACACTCATCTGCATTGGGCATACACTTCGGATTGTTTCCATGTAGGCTGCCTTCCAGGCTCCTGCTTCCACTCCAGTTATGTTTTTTGCTTACTTACTGATGGTTCTGTAGCTAAGCCCTGCATGTTTTCTGAATCATTCATGCCATTCATTTGCAGGTGTGAATTCAGTGTTTAGTTTTAATACTGTTTCTTCAGCCTTCTATCTCAACATTTGACCTGAAACTGGTATACTTAATGCTCATCTCAGCCTAAACTGTTGTAGGAGCCTGGTTCATTCTTCTCATACTTAGAAGTTTGAACATTTGTCTGCTTGGATGATTAGTTACATTGCTGAAGTATATGTTTGCTTGTTTACCATGATATTATTATTTAGTGTCAACTCTGGTATTTGTCTGCTTGGATGATTAGTTACATTGCTGAAGTATATGTTTGCTTGTTTACCATGATATTATTATTTAGTGTCAACACTGGTATTCTAAGTTGTTCCACAGCCTTCATGTGCCTCACATATGGTTATTCATCCACCTGCTTAATGTTTTCTGTTTTTGTAGCCATGCCTACAACCGTGTGTAATACACAAGCCAGTTTACTTTATGTAACTTCACAGAATTCAGCACAAATGCTTACCATATGTAGCCTTGCACACAAAGACAATGCTACCATTTAGATGGAGGAAGTCAGAAAGTTGCTGCTAATTCCGCCATCTTCTCTCACTCACAGAGTATGAGTAATTCTATAAACACTACAGATTCGTTGATTTATGTGAGCATCTTTCTTCTTATTCATTTCTGTATGTGCATAATATACTGGTAGTCTGACAGAAATTATTAAATAGGTAAAATGCTCAGTACATTTCTTTAAAATTTCTCTTCTTTATCAGAATGTCTTTTTCTGCAGAAAACGTTTTAACCAAGATATAAATACATTATTCTTACTGTATCACTTATGGGACCCAATGATTTTAACTCTTTACATGGGAAACCATTTAAATGGGATCTTTGGAATTCCACTGTATATGAATACTTCCTAAACTTTGTTCTTTTTTTTATGATTGTGTTTTACAGTGCCTAGTATGTACTGGCATATGGTTATTAAGTAAAAAAAATGATATAGGAGTGCATAGATTGGGCAGTCTGTGCTTATGAAAACCACATTGGTTTGAAAGAAATGCAGGAATATGACAGCTATAGAAGTCTGAAATTTCTGGTTTTGTGTGAATATTGTTGCAGTGGATGAAATGTTTTGTGAACTGAATTTGTTTGTATTTATTGATAAAAGTCAGTGTCTGATTATCACATTAATGTATAATGCTGTGTCATTTACATGTGTTACATAGTAGTGAATGAACGGTGAACATAAGGTGAAATTTGGAAGTAAGTGGTCATTACTTTCCTACCACTTTTCTTCAGAAATTTTGAAAATAATTTTTGTCATCTAATGTGTGCCACACAGTTTCATTTGATTCAGTGGAACGCACTTGTGATTTTGAAGGTCTGCACTTTTCAATTAATTTTTATTATAGGATGTAGTTGAAGGTGACAATCTGGCTATAGCTCTAGAAGAGTTGAAGGCTATTCTAATCTCGCCAATCAAACCCTCTCATCGTGAGGACAGGGAGAGAGATGAGACTGAAACTGGTAGTGATGTGAAGATCACTGGTAGTAGTACTGCTGGTAGCCAAGTGGAAAATACTGGTAGTGACATGATTGTGCCAAGTGAGTCAGACATTGTTGTTCCTGATGAAGACATCCCAGTCCAGTTCACCAAAGTTATGGGCAAAGGTAGGCTTTGGAAAGCTGCAAGCTTGAATCTCTCAAGGCTCAGAATCGTTTATTTATTTTTGTGTGACTGTAGGTTCTCGCAGTGGTGACAGTGAAGGCCACTGCCTTCTGGGATATGATTCTGTGTAGTTTGGTAAAAGTTTATGATTATTTTGGAGGAACATAACTGCCTACAACTTCAGGGCTAAAAAGTGAGCCAAGTGCTTGCATGTTTTCCTACTTGTTGATCTTAACTGTGTGACCATCATAATGGTAGCAGTACATTCTTCCAAAATGTTTGTAAATTTAAACATGCTAGACACCATCACATCCTGGAAGATGATGGTTGTCAGCTTTCGTTTTAACACAGAATTTGGATCATCATTCAGTGCTGTTAGGTCATCTTTAAATTTGTTGCACCTGGCAGACGCTTCATTTCAGCTGAGAATGTTCTGCCCATAAACATTCATTAACCTGTGATGAATATCTCTGTAACTCACTTGTTCTGCTTGCAAAAATCTGACCACCTTGCGAACCTCAAACTTGGACTAATTTTGAATCACATGAACCATTTTGTTCACTTGTAAAGCTTGAACATGTGGATGGAGAAGGACACTAGCACAGCTATTTCATTGCCTGACATACCAATATATGAAAGTGATGTCGAGATGCCACATAAATGCCATGTGTAGCAAACACTAGTACCGTTAATATTGGATGGCCTTCGTATGATCAACAAACATTTCATAAGAAACCACCTTACCACATGCCAACCTCACAGTTTTTTTTTAAGTCAGTTATTTAACAATGATGTCAGTACTGAGATTATAGGTTTGATAATCTCACTGTTGCTATGTGACTACGCTACAGAACTGGGTAAGAAACAGGTTTGTCTGATCATGCTCATCTGGTGTGGCAGAGGTCACTGAAACTAGTGTTTCAGCCACATGTGTTGGAGAGGTCTTAATGATAAATGATGGGGCAGTTGCAAACAAATGAATTGCAAATTACATATGACCATTTTCATGGGATCTGTTGTGCCACTGGGAGAACAGCCTTGCACTTAACATTTCCTTTTGTTTTACAGTGTAATATTGACTTACTTCGCATTTGATGAACTGAACTTGTAATAGCCATTCTCATTGATGTGTTCAGTATGCACGCAACTTCTGGTGAGTAATCATGCAGAAGAGGAGGTTGTTCGTTTATTTATGTGGCTGGTGGATCACTCATTACAACACGAAGCATTCACTACACAACAGAAGCGACGACTGAGCTCTTGGAGACTGCAGATTCAGGATGCATGGCATTTGTCCCCTTCTCATCACAAAACTAGTGACCAGCGTCATGCGAGACACAGGTGAATTCACTGTAAAAATTTTAAATTATGTTGTGTTTAATTTTTTTTAATTTCATGTGTTTGTTTTGGGAAATGCAGGTGTTTCTAATACACTTTTGTTGTTGTTGTTGTTGTTGTTATTGTTGTTGTTGTTATTATTGTTATTATTATTAATTATTATTATTAATTATTAATATTATTAATTAAATATTAATGTTTCATTCCTCTATTCGTAATAGCACTTAGTTTAATGATAATGGAATTATTATTACTGTTATAATTATCACTTATTTGTTTGTTTACTTTTACTTTTATTCATTATTATTTCTTCCAATTACTTAACTGTAATTTGTATTTGACTTTTAATAAGTTTGTATGTAATGTAATTCAGTCATCTACACTGTGCTGAGTCTGTAATTGGCCTTGCGGCTGTTGACTCGGCACATTAATAATAAAGAATTGAATTGAATTGAATTATGGCTCAACAGCCCTTTGTTGGACCACTTTTTCTTTAGTTCTTGTTCCTGTACACAGTAAGACTCGTTGGATGGGGAATCAGTCTAGATGTCCTGCGTCGTTAAAGTGTACTGCTATGTTTACATGAATGAAAGTTGAAGTAATTTAATGAATTTTCTAGTGTTAACACAAACATATGAAAGAAAAAATGTTTAAGAAACATGTATGAAATTTGTTGTATTAGTTTTCTTTTTGAAGACACTTTTTTTATTAAGCTTCACCATTCTTGCTGTGTTCACCTGTCACAGCCCCACTGTCTTCACATTTCCCTTCTCTCTCACATTCATTGCTCACATTCACACATTCACTGCTGACATCCCCAACATCTTCCTCCTCTTCCCTTCTGTCCATTTCATCAGATATATAGATATAGATATCTGTATAGATAAAGGATTTATCTATGTCTTCTGGAGAGATCTGTTGCCATTATCTTGATCCACTGGCACAGTGATTCTAAGCTGAGCTTTATCTCAGTGGTGTTAGAATATAGTCCCCTACCAAGAGCCATCCAGAATACGGACATTCAGTAGAGCATTTAATTAAGTCTTGCCACCATGTAACGACTACAAGGTCAGTATTTATTACAAGAATCACAGAACTGACATCCCCTGTTAAATGACTTTTAATGCCTCCAGCACGGTCATTTCTCATTTTCTCAACAATTCTTTTGACCTGTTCCAGACATCTTGTAACCAGTCTGTTATCAGTTCAGTGTTCCTTCTTCCCTTTATTTGACACCTGAATATTAGTACCATAGGCAGCTCCATTGTAGGCAGTTTTTCAGTTTGGTATCATATATGGTGATAGTTTCATGTTGCCTGCCAGCTCTATTAATATTGCAGTGGTTCCTGAGTTTTCATTGCCTTATGTTTTTATGACAGCAGACTTCGCCCCTGCATTGTTGGTGGTGTAACTGGTTAGCATATTCAAATTCACTGGCATGTCATCAGCATTGTCCGGGAGTGTGATGGTAACGTCTTGCAAACTGCAAAACACTGCTATGGGAAATGTCTTTCCTCAGCATCTTTTGTACACATCACCCTTAGATGGACTTAAAATGTTAACCTCCTGTTGAGCAATGATGTAGTACTACAAGGCTATGCCATTCTGTCTTAGAATCCGTACAAATAAAAATTTTCATGTAGAAGTGATGTAAGTCCCCCCCCACTGGCCTTCAGATGTTTGCCTCTTTGTTTTCTTGTTGCTTCACAATTCTTTGTTGATCAACAGTATCATTACTGCTGTGCCTGATACTTTTTGACACATTATTTCTTTTCACACTAATATGTTTCTTTGCATGATCTGCCATTTTTATGGTGACTGACACTCGTATCAGCACAGAGCCTGATGATATCGTAAATCAGTGAATTTCCACTTTTATTTCATGACTTCGGGCAATCTTATGACAGCTCATGGCTTCTGACCTTGAAACATGCTAGGGTTGGAACTTTAATCGTGGCAACACTGCTGTAGAGACACCATGCAATGGAACCAAATAATGTTGCTTATACCACACATTAGTTACATACCTCCCTAACCTCAGAGCAAATGGAATCTCCCTTCCCACATCACGCGCATGCGCAGTGACGAGAAGAACAGCCTTGTGTTAGCTGGCGTTCTAATGTAGTGTAGTCACGATTTTCTCGAAAGAGGAACAACGGAGTTGGATAAAGATTGAATATACCAGAGGCCGTACAGCATGACAGTGTCATAAAGTTCTTCAAGAGGCTTTCGGGGAATCTGCTTTGCCTTACAGAGCAGTGGCAAGGTGGGTAAAAGCCTTCAATGAGGCATGCCAAAATGTGGCAGACCTGTGTTGGCCAGGTCATCCTAGTGTCAGTGAAGGAGAAGTGTGTATGCTCTTTCTGCATTACTGGAGAGTGCAAAACATAAGTGAATTTCTGGGCTGGAAATGTTTCAGACGGGTCAGGGAACATTTCACAGCTCTTAGGCCACTGAACCAGAATAGAGCATGAGATTTCGCACCAAAGTGAATCTGAACTGTACCTTTCTTTCAAACTTTTCAAAGCCCTGTGTACATGAACTGTGTTATTTTAATTCTACTCTTAGCTCATGCATAATGTTTGGCATTGGATAAAAGGATCCCAGTAAGAATAACATCAGAGGTTACAGGATCCTATTGTGGGATGCAGTTCATCCATATATGTGCACTGCATATTTTTATATTCCATACTTAAAAAAAGTTTGGCAAATTATTTACAGAATCCTCATTTCTAACGCTGATGCATGCATTTAACAGGTGGAAGTTTTTTTTTTATTGCAAAGGAGATGTCTTGTAGTCCTAGTTCTGCCTGTGTGCAGTAATTTATTTTTGAAAGGGTGGATTTGGCAGCTAGAAGATGGCTTGCTTATGTATTTACATGTTGCAGGTGGCATCATCCCAGTCAATTCTCTTCGGGGACAACGAATGGTTATTCACATTCCCACTCCCATTTACACGGGAACCGCGGACAGAGGTTTCCCCCTCCACCGCCACCGCCACCGCCACCACCACCACTGCCTCAACCTATTGGCTATGGCAGCTATCACCAGCGTGGAACGGGCACCAAGACTTCTGGGGCTGGGTTCACATCATTATATCCTGCAAACTCCACTGCCCCACTAACTCAAGCTCCTGTTGGGCAACATGATTGCAATAGTCTGTCCATCATAGGGAGTATGGTGGGAGCAGGAGTCTCCTTCATGGCCAAGAGACCGAGCTTACAAGATACACTGCCAGAGGTCAGTGCATCTCACATTTCTTGATCAGTCTAGTCATAAAAAACATTCATTATCATTACTCTACTATAACAAAGGAGCAATGGTGAAGGTAGAGGTAAAGTTGTTCTATTATTTAATTGATATAGTAACAACCATAGAAAAAACAAAAGCAACTGCAATATATTGTGACATGATGCCTGAAAGCCAGAATAGTGAGTCAGATTGGAAGTTGATTTCCTAGGCAACAAGTATTAGCAGAGCATGTTCACATGACAGTGGGTTACCTTGGAATTATTATACATGCACTTCATGAAAACACTCAATGAGGCATATTGGTTACTGTGGAACTGGAGGTGTTTCCATGGTAATGCGTGCTAAGGCAGACAGTTACTGCAGATATGAAATAGGGAAATCTTGAAGGAGGTGTTTCCTATCCCAGCTGCTGAGGGTTAAGCGGCAGAGAGCAATTTGGCCAGCATAGAGTGGAGAATAGGAGACTACTATGGAATTGGACTTGGCTTTGTTCAGACTTGAATCACTGAGCATCCAGTACTTGAAGTTATGCAGATGTTAGATCTGGTGTGTAATTGTAAGAGAACATCAATAAATCCATTTATCCGATCTGTAACCTGTTATTTTCATCACGTGTACCTCCCTACACATGGAAATATGCAGGCAGTGATAAAAGCATTTAGTGACATCTTCATGTGTAGTTCACAGGCACGAAGGTAGGCAGATGCAGGGATTTTCATGGCTAAATGCTAGCATAATTTTAACTCTTTGACTGGCGCGGGCATGTTTTAACACCCGGACGATGCCAGCCGTTCCCTGGCGTTGGCGTGTTTTAACACTTTGACAATCTCGTCCCTTCTTTGCTCTCTTGGCACTCATCAACCAAAGACATATATGTGATTATTTTTGTGCATGTTTGTAAAGAACCCTTGTAAACTTTATGGGGGTCTATATTACTGTCAGAACCCTCTGAGAAGGTAAAGGTCAGAAAATATTTCACATTCATTCAGTTTCACCATAGCTTCTTGCAGCAAGTGTCTTCGTGTTCCTACAGACCAGCTGGAAAATGTTGTGAACGAGATTTTTTCTGATGATGATAGTGGCGATGAAATAATGATTCCTGAATTGGATGAAGTTGATAGTGACAATAATACAGTGATAGACAATGATCCACAAGACAGTAATCATGAACATTTACCTACCACGAGTGCGGTGCCTGACACGCCCATCTCATGAACGTACGGAGACATTGTACCCCCAATA